AAAAAATATATTGCCACGCTTTTGCTCATTTCGAATTCCCTGACTTTTCCAGGTTTTCCAGATTAAAAAACGTCATTTTTCCAGTTTTTAGTAACTACAATATTGTTGCCAACAAAAATTTTATTTTATTTTTCCCTGACTTTCCCTTGAATTCCAGACAAAATTTTAACTTCTCCTTGACTCTAAAGAATATTCTCATCCAGTTAAAAAAAGCATTACTCAGAAAAATGTTCTATTGCTTCTTTTTTAAATAAATATTTAATCATTATTATTTTTCTATATAAATATCAAAATTTTACAAAACACTCTAATTCAAAACCTTTTTGAAATTAAACAATTTAAAAATAAATGTTATAAAACATGATCGAGAGATAAAATAATTATTTTATATTATAAGAATATTGTTACTGTAACTTCTTAAAAATTATTTTCATATTCAATTATTATCTAAAATTTTAACTAAAATTCATTTTAGTTAATATTCATTAAATCGATTTTTATTAGAAAATTCTACGAGAATAATTCAATTATTTAAATTCAAAAGTAAATTATTTATTAAACAATTGAATGTTTCTTAAAATTTAATTCTTATAAAGAATTTTACTAAAAAATTTTTAAATAATTGAATTCTTTAATTTCTTTTGAGGAATTTTAATAAAAAATTTTTAGAATAGTTACATTTTTCAAGGAATTCGATTGAAATTGTATTAAAAATAATTGAAATACTGCGATGAGTTTTATTATTTCTGAAAATAATTGAATTATTGAGTAGAAACTTATAAAAAATTTGTAAATATTTAAATTCTTGTGAAATTTTTATTATTTATGCAAATATTTAAATTTTTGCGTAGGAATTTTACTAAAATTTGTTTTTAAATAAGTGAATTCTTTTGAAGTTTATATATTTATGAAAATTTTAAACGCAACTCTTTTAAAATTGAATTAATTTTGAAATATTTAAGTAAAATTGCTAATTCTGTTTGAAAAAATGTCAGTAAAAAGAGTTTAATATTCAATTATTATCTAAAATTTTAACCGAAATTAATTAAAATTAAAATTAATGAAATTTCTGCGAAGAATTTCATTAAAATTTTTGAAAATTATTTTATTCTTTTAAGAAATTAAATTAAAAATGTATTGCCAATAATTCTTAAATTCTAATAAATAAATTATAGGAAGGCTTTTTAAATTAATTGAATTTCTTTGAGGAAATTGAATTTTAATAAAATTTTTAACAATAATTACATTTTTCGAGAAATCTCATTAAAATTATATTAAAAATAAGTGAATTTCTAAGATTAGTTTTATTATTTTTTAAAATAATAGAATTCCTGGTAAAAATGTTATTCTTCATAAAAATAATTGAATTATTGTGAAGAAATTTATAAAAAAAATTGTAAATAATAGAATTTCTGTGACATTTTTATTATTTAATTAGTTCATTCAAAATTGAAATTTTCTAAAATTTCAAATTAAAACCTTTTAAAGTTTATCTATTTATGAAAATTGTAAACGCTAATTTTTAAAAATTGAATAAATTTTGAAATATTTAAGTAAAATTAGATTTCAAGAATAAGCACAATAATTTGAGAAAGAAATAATTTTCCAGGATTTCGATGAAAATTCCCTGACTTTTCCAAATTTTTTTAAGGTTTATAAAATTCCGACATTTCCAGGTTTTCCAGGTTGCGTGACAATTAGTAATATAGATTTTTATTATTATAGTAATAACACTTGATTTTTTCTGATTCGCATGTGACGAGAAAAAAAATAATAGCGGACGGGAGGTATGGTAAATTTTACTTGTAAGAATATAAGCTTTTGTATTTGACATTTTCTATGGAGTTACTTTTTGCAAAAGAGTTAGGTCAACACGGTTTTCAGCTGCAAGTACCTCAGGGGAATCTTCACTATCTCCGGCGGTTGAATCTTTGAGAGAGGAAATCGTTGGTAAAATGCAACAGTAAGTTTTTAATGAGCCGCAAAAACTCTCTTCTAAGTATTATTATATATCTCAAAAAGAAAAAGAATATAAAAAAAACAATCCGCCAATAAAAAAGAAGAGAACCATTCATTATTAAATTTTTATAACAGAAATTGGAAAAAAATTCAATATATTTTGTTTACTTTCTAACAGATAAAAAAAGGGGGACACGAAAAAATTGAAAATAAAAATACAGATGTATTGGTGGAAAAATAACAATTGATGTTTTTTTTAATTAAACGATTCACTGATCCAGTATATAGTAAAAAAAAATTTTTTTCCCTATTATTTCTAAAAAAAAAGTGTGAGTGTGAACGAAAAGCGCATAACGAGCAAACAAAGTCGATAAACAAGAGAGATATTATCTCCCTTTTGCTGATGGCCAAAGTGAGTCTAGGCTCGCAAGCTCTCTCCACTATCTTCTCATTCGATGTTATATGTATATAGTCTTAAGAGACTTTTTTTTTGCCATCGCAGATAAGAAACTTTAAGTACGTATAACCAGTGACACCTGGGTTTCCTTAATCACCAAAATTTCCAAGTATAAAGCCGAAAAATTTTTACCCAAATTTTCCTTTATGGAAGAAGAACGGAAATTTGTTTTTACCAGAAGGTAAAAAACATTTCAATTTGTGTATTTTTTCAAAAAAATATTAATTCTTTGTTAATGGAAAAAAAATTGTTTAACGAATCTAAATTATGCAAATTTTTCTCCTTTTTATTTATAAAAAATATGAGAAAATTGTTACCTAATTGTTCAAAAATTATAATTAAGAATTATGAAATACACCCATTTTATGCATAATTTATATTTCTCTATAACAATATTGTTCAGAAATTTATTCTTTTTGAAACTTTTTAAATTTTTAGAAATTTTAGAAAATAAAGGTAAAAATATTACTCAAGAAAATGTTCTGTTACATTTATTTACGAATTTCTTTAATTGTAAAATTATTCGAAAACATCAATAAATCTTTTTCTCCAACACTTGCTCTGAAAGGAGTACTTTTCTTGGTAGAAAAGTGTGGCGAAAGTAGAACTTTTCTCAACTGCTCTGAAGAGCGTGGCGAAAGTAAAATTTGGCGTGGCGAAAGTAAATTCAGCGTGGCGAAAGTAATTTTTAGCTACGCTCGAGCCGCAAACTTCACTCTCGAAAAATCACACTTTCGCCACTAGTTGTACAATGTACTATTTTTAAATAAATATTTAATCAATATTATTTTTCCATAGTAATTAAGAATTTTCAAAAAATTAAAATTCAAATCTTTTTAAATTCAAGAACATTTTTATAAAACATGAAGATAGCGATTGCTCCGAGTCGAAGACTCGGAGTGATCGATTTCTTCATGTTTTATATATAATAATTAAAAATGACCGAGTGCGATAAAATTATTGTTTTATATTATAAGAATATTATTACAGTAACTTCTTGAAAATTGTTTTCATCATTTCAAATCAATTATTATTTTCTACAATTTTTAATTATTTATTATGAAAATAATTGAATTCCTTAAAAAAAATTTTATTATTTTAAAAAATAATTTAATTATTGCGAAGGAATTTATGAAAAATTTCTAAATAATTGAATTCCTATGAGAAATATATTTTTAGTATTTTCGAAAATAATTAAATGTTTGCGTACTATTTTTGGGAAATTGAAATTGATTTGAAATTTTATTTTATCTTAAAGTGTCTTTTTTATTATAAAAAAGAATTTTATTCATATTTTCTTAAAAAATTTTAGTAATTCGGTTTTCAATGCTTCACGCAAAATTAATTATATTCAAGGGTGAAAAATGAAAAGAGTAATGAATTTCTGGACGCTAATTACACAGAGTATTATATATATGTGTGTATATATATATAAGTATATATACGAATGAGAATCTTGCACGCCTCTAATGAAGCATTTGTGTCACATCGTATATAACATGAAAAAGACATTCATCCTTGGTGTAAATTGCAGGTTGCGAAGATGTAAAATATTTTTGAAGTTTATTACTTTTATACTATGGATGTGTGACAATTGCAGAAAAATTTAAATTAGAAATTCTTTTACAGAAATTTGTATCGCATCAAAAAATAGATTTTTTTTTGTAAAATAACTGAATTATTGAAAATTTACTTTATATTTTTCTTTTGTGAGGAAAATTATTTTTTTGTTCTTAGAAAAAGAAATTTTTCTATAGTAAAAAATTTCTCTGACAACACGTTGATTTTACTTTATTGTAATTTTAAATTTCTCTTTTTACCTGATGACTAAGAAATTTTCTAGCTAACGTTGGTATTCTCTACGTAGAATGGAATCAATATTGGGTTTCTTTTACGTTTACTCTTCTTGATATGTGGTGATTGTCTGACGCATAACGACTATTTCTACTTAGGCGAATATTTTCATTAATCGCCGTGAGATTTGTCTAAATGAATTTTTTTCCCTCCTAATTATTTGGCTATAATTTTTGCCAATTTTAGACCAAGATTTCATTTTTATAATCAATTTTTAACCGAAATGCGAATTATAATTATAAAATTAATTAAATTCATTAATTATCAATTAAATTAATCAGCATTTACTATTATTTAATATTTATTTATAAGTATAAATTTGTAATAATTAATTACATTAATTAATATGTATTAAATTATTAATTGTACGGTTTCCATACTTTTTGAACACCCGTTATATTAACTAATTCGAAAATAAATTCAAATTTCGCGCCACAATGCTTTGTTTTTAGACGGTTGGCAATCATCTATAATTGACAAGAGTTTCTAACCTAAAAGTTACTTTATTTACTTTGATAAATGATAAATAAAGGAAATTAAGTTGAAGAGTTGGAGTCTCTTTACTTGTAATATGATTCTTCATATTATTGTATTGTACGGGGAAAGAAATCCAAAGATTAAAATTAATCTTACGTGACTAAAGCGAATAATTTCATATAGACAAAGAGAAGTCGAGTTTTTTTCGAATTTTAACTTGTCGAGTAATAATTATTTATGTTTGGAGACTCACCGAAAGATTAAATTTTCCAGCAGCTGTGAAACGATTGTTGATTATATTATTTTTAATATCAACTCGAATTTTACACATAAAATAAATATTAACTGTATACTTTCATACAAAGATGAGAAAATTAATGCCCGGTGTCACTTTAGCAGCGACCTCTCAACTCGAGCTGTGAAACTATTAGCAGTCGATAATACAGCTTCAGCAGTCGGTAACAAGGTTTCCTATCCTATCGAAACGGACAAATGCGCGCGTTAGTGTCCAACTGTCCAGTGCGTTGCCAATCCTGAAGAGAATCAAAGGAAAAATTCGTTTTCCTGCGGTAAGTATCAAAAATACGAGAGTGTTACATTATAATAACTTCGTCAGTGTTATTTTAAATAATTTATTTTGTATTTCAGGATTGGATAATCAAACGATGGAGCAGATTATTGTTTCGACCTTCTGGGACAGGACTTGTGGCACTGGCAGTTATGGTGAGTAAATAAACATAACCTAAAAGGGTTCGTGAGGGTTCGCGAATGTAGATAATTTTTAATTCAATGAAATATTAATTAATTTTATAGGCGACGAAACGAAACTTTAGAATATGTATATTATATTTTCCGTGATTCAGACACAGGGGCATGTTTTTACCTATTCGTTGACACATATGAAGTTGGCGCTTGCGCTTCCCATTGTTTTTCTCTCACTCTCACTCGTGGACAATCCAAACTTCATGTTCTCTCATTACCTCTCTCTCTCTCTTTATTTTTCTCCATCTCTCTCATTCATTCGCGAACAACCCCCTGAATGCATAGGCAAAAGACAGAAAATCGTCTAGCAAGGCTAAAGGGAGAGAAACGATTGTGCAGTGCGCCTGTGCAACGGAGACAGAGAGCACGAAAGGATAGAAAGTGCGCGGATGCGTGGGGCAAGGAGCGGAGTTCGTCATTCGAAGCCCGCGAACGGTCGGAGCAACCACGGGTCGGAACTATACATCTATTTAGCAAAAAAAAGTGGCGAAATCCAAATTCAATTCTATCTCCAATTTAAATTCGATCGTGAAAAAAAAATTATCGATATAAATCGAAACCAGTGTTTTGTTTTCATCTTCTTCTTCTCCTTCTTCTTTGCTCCCTTTCGAAAGATATCGCACGTGCTTTTAAAACATAGTGTTCGTGAAAGGAAAGTCCTTGACTCTTCCACACGTAAAAAAAATAATCTCCAGGATTATCGGATCCACTTATCTGTTTTTTTTTGTTTACAACAAACGAGTGTGTATAATCTAACCTCAAAACAAGAGTTTTTGTTGTGTCAAAAGAAAAAAGTGTGTGTGTAATTAGTGCTACAAATATAAAGCAACGTAACCTCAACTACACAAATTTTGGATATACAAATATCAATAATAGTTTTGACGTGTGGTGCAAAAGTTTTTTGGGTGGAAACTATTCAACCAATTATTGTTTTGTTTCGCAACTTTGATGCCTGTCAGTAGCATAAATAACATCAAAAAATTGACTGACAGGAGTTGAAAATAAAAAAAAATTGTGTATTTTCTAAAGGAAAGAACGTTGAATCGAGGCTCATACATACTCACACGTGTGAGAAAAGGGAAAAAAAATTAAAGCTTTCTTTTCGACTAAATCTTTCTCCTTCGAGGTGTAAAAACCGCTTGATGCTTTGTTTCCGGGATTCACTGACGACGACGACGCTTTACGAGAGGTTGTTGTGTCGTTTTTTCGCGGGAGTTTAGTGTTTCTCTATTTCTCTCTCTCTCTCTCTTTTTATTTTGTGTCTGTTTATATATTGTGTGCGCGCACGAAAAGATAAACTGAGATTCTACTGTTTTAATGTCGGATTAAGTAGCAAAAGTTTTCTGTATCTTCCAGTGTTTGTAATATCCGGGGCCGGTGATATATACATATATAGTTGGTGTCGTTTGATAGTAACATCTCTCCACACCGTTTCCGTGATTTCACGCGAGTAAACACGTGTGCGAAACACCTTGCAATCGGGGATTTACAATTCGTGTGTTGCGCGCTCGCTGTCAAAAGAAGAATTATTTTCTTTTATTAATATAGTGGAAAACGTATAGTAGAGAATATTTTTTCGGAAAATAATATTTCGCAAAATATTTCGCTTATTATTGTGTCGTGATTTTTTCTCATTAGTTGCGTTTTAAAGAAAACTTGATTCCGCATTAGTTTCGTATATTGTCAATTACGTGTTTTACATTTTAAATCGTGAAAGTTAATTTGTTTCTTTTTTCCTCTTGATCGCCTCGATTCGCGGGTCTTTCTTTGTCAATAATTGTCAAGTTTTTGTTTTCTCGTGGGGAAAAAAACAACACAAGTTTATTGTTTCGTGATTTTTCATTCGAGTGAGTGTTTTAGTGAGCAAAGTGCGGATTACTCTTGGCTGGAGTATTAAAAAGGTAAAATTTAGTAATTTTATTGAATATTTTAATTATTATATTTTAGTTTAATTATTATGTTTAGAATTTTTATAAATCAATTACTTCAATTTGTTTTCAAAATTACCACCATTATTTTTATCATTTTACCAAAAGTATTATTATGATCACTATTATTATCATTATGGTTGTTGCTATTATTATAATTATTCTTATTTTTGTCATAATTAACGTTAATACCCCATTACCATTTTTCGAATTCTTTCTAAAATTTATTTTATTCCTTACAATTATAGTTATAGTACAAGTTTTATTATTATTAACAATCCGTATCATATTTCCATCATTAGAATTATCATTATTATAAAATAAAGCTGAAACTGGCATTCATATGTCAACACTCACTTAATTTTGGGAATTAAACTTTAAAGTTGAATATTAAACTTCCCCTTGTTATATAATTGTCATTATTATTTTTAGCATCAGCATTAATTAGTAACCAACACTTTTAAATTAAAAATTGTGATTATTTTTTATGATTATCATTGGCAACAACAGTAGTGTTAATTATCAATACATTATTACTTTTGATATAATTAACAATATTACCATTGATATATTATCTTTGATATAATTTACTCTCATCATTATAATTAACTACTATAAAATAGTAATGGATTTTATCCACAACTATTATAAAAGTTACCAATACTTCACTGTAAAACTATTTCTCTCGAGTGTATTTTTAGCATTTATTGGTAAAAATGCATACGAATTCAATTAGCGGCTGCACATAGAAAAACGTGGGTTTATTTTTGTTTTCATCAGAACAATGGAAAATTGGATAGATCCTGTTGTCCTCTATACTCGAGTTCATTTTTGTCAAAGATGAAATTAATTCCCTTTTGTTTATACATGTATGTTTCAGTAAAAATTGGTATTTTCTGTTTTAAGATAAAATTCTAAAATTGTAATTAAAATTAATCACTAATTATCTAATTACTACTACTTATTTACTAGAGTGGATTAAATTGATGCCAAAAATATAGAGCATAATTTTTTATTTGATCCACATTTTTGGTATCATTTCGTTGCAATTTGATACTTTTGAGTTAACAGTGGTGTAAATAATGATAAATCGGCCATGAAATTAAGGTATTCAACCAGAGAATTTATTTACTTTTTAAATAAAAAAATAACTTGCGCTCCTAAGAAAGGTATCTAAGAAGCAAACAGTTTTAGGTTATGTTTACAATTTTTAGAGTAAAAATACAGAAAGAGAATCAATTACTATTACAAATCATTGATGTTAAAGACTTTATTACATTCAAAATATTCAATAAAAAGTGTTTCAAATTTAAATAATTAAAAAAGAAGTTCTAATAAAAATAAATGTAAGGCAAACATAACCTATGATTCGTTAGGTTCTTAAGTAACTCTCATAGGAGTACGGCACAAATTAAAATTAATTACTTTACTGACTAAAGCAATCAACCAAATAACTAATTCACTTATTAGCTATATAAATAAAAATCAATTTACTGTATATAAATATTTAAATTCATTAAAGCAATATTAGCCACTAGTTCACTGACTGATTAACTAAAATTAACGAAATTAAATCACAACTAACAAATTTTTAAAGAAAATAATTAATGATAAAAAAGGTTTGACATAAATGAATAATTAAATAACACTAGTTAATAAATAAATTGATCAGAAAGTAACTTATTTAGCATTTATTTTTTCTTGTCTCTATATGTAGTTTCAAGTTTAGCTATAATACTGTCTGTGGGGTAAATTAGATTTAAGGGCATGCCACCTCATGTAGAGGCTTCGATTACCCATAGGAATGTTGTTCAGTAAATGAAGAAATGCATCGCTACCATATAAGTGAATAATGGACAAACATATTTTACTTTCTTGAATAAAAAAAAGGAAATAGAATATTTCTTCTTTTTCCAAATAACTGTATCTTTTTGTAACAAATAGTGTGGAGAGAGAAAGAAAGAGAGAAAGAGTGAGTGAGAGAGAGGGAAAGAGTATATGTGAAGCATGTGCACAAACCTCGTAGTTTGAAGCCATGCATCTTTTACTCGGATGTGCAAAATTTATGTTTTGATAAAGATCCGGTTGAAATGCGTGAACCCACGAACTTGGGGGAATACGGTAGACACCCCGTGAAGAAGTAGCCAGGGCTGTAATAAGAGGTAAAACTGTAATTGTTTTACAACAAATCGTTTAATTTATCTCTAGATATAAAACCGAGGCATTTGAAAATTATTAATTAGGTCAAGCCAAAAATTTACAGAAGAGGGAATTTATAATTCTATTTGCAAAGTTTTTAATACTTTATTGAAATTATTTATTTACTAATTTTTAATTCTTCATTAGTACCTTTTTTTAAACTTTTTATTAATACACGTGTATTACTTTTTTTTTGTCAGAAAAAGAGATTTTTTTTCGTTTTCTGTGACTTGACTGAATTATGACTTTCTGAAGTTATGAGAAAAACTTTTCTTTAATTACAAAAATTGTTCTTTCTTATTTAACATAAAAAAGAAGGGAAATGATAAACAAAAACTTGCGAGTAAAAAGAATGTTATATTTCTCAAAGTCTTATCTCTCTTGGAAAGTTGGTCCCATAAATGAGATCATGTTGATTTAGCGAATATTTTACTTGCGCATCAAAATTT